TCACTGTCAACTCACACTACTCGGATTGTGCGCACATGACACACTCCGGTGTGCGCAATACTTCTTACTCTCCTTTCTCACTCATTACGTGACAAAGCCAGTGAGTTCAATTCTCTATCTGGTACTTGTTGGAGCACCTGTCCATTTTTGGCGGGTGGCCTGGGACCGGTGTATAGAAGATTGGAACTGTCATTGTCTGTAGCTTAGTGATGACCGCAGATATGCAAGAGCCACCACATACTACATCCACATCATATACGCGAATCCCAAATATCCCCGAAAAAAATTGATGGAAGTGAAGGGAAATCACAAGTAAAACACTCAGTGCGCTACGAGCATTCACTCAAACTGTTGTCATGGAGATTCATTTCTCCTATACCCTATAGATAACTATTACAGTCATAAGAATACGCAGTCATCACCGCTGCAGGTTTCCATATACACAGTGTTGTCCTGACCATCCGATGGACCGTCGTCACCTGCGTGCAAGCGCTTTTGCGCATTAGAACAGTGTGTACTACTAGATACGAGCTTCTTGATCTAAAGAGAGTGTATTATCTCGCCATGTGAATGGCATGGTATCATCGAATCGTGTACATCCGAAAATACCAGCGGAATCGAGACAAGACTCCATCGCACTGCCCTGGGCCTTGCAATTTGGTTTCGGACACAGTGCAGCTCACTACTCAATTTTGGACACATCCGCGGTTAAACTGCCTCGCCACAGCTGCTTCAAATCGTTGATAAACCGTTTCTCCGTGACGGCAAAGACCACCGCAGTGACCAACAACATACAGACACCCACAAGCACATGCTCTGCACGCGCAACGTACAATCCCCTCGACACAGCCGCCGCTTCATCGTCCTCGCCACTCAGCAGCAGTGCATGGGATACCTGCGTGACCAGCCCTGACGCTACGAGCGTACACAGAAGCCAGAAAGAGGGTACAGCCTGGTACAGGGGGTGGGTGTTGTGGGCGGTTGCCTGGGGGTGAGTGAGGGTGCGGGGTGCAAAGTACTGGAGAGCGTGTCTGAGTCCGTACGCTATGCGCAAGCACATGTTCAGGCAATTGGCCACTATAAACCCAGCCGCCTGCAGTCGCGTGCGGGTGAGGGTGAGCGACGCAGCCAAGTACACCACCGAGAATCCTACCATGAGACGGTTGTACGCCTCAATCGTGTTCCTATCGGCAGATGCCAAAAGGAAGCACTCGGTGATACCGTTGATACCCAGCACCAGTACATACAGACAGTACCACGACAGCAGGGCAGGGCCAATGCCGATACTAATCGCCTGCCCTCCGTACATGTCCAGTAGTATGGTGGTGTAGGACGGTCCAAAACACACGAAAACGAGGCCCAGAATGCCCACAAACTTTAGTAGAGTGACCAGCGCACGGGCCGCCAGCGCTTTGCGCTGTGCGAATGTATTGGACTGGCCTTGCCGGCTGTCCGGGTGGGTGTCTGTGTGTGTATGTTCAGCTACACCCACACCCGCAAGCGGTTGTTCTTGGTTTGTGCCTAGCCACGTGGCCCGTGTTGGCGGCTGTTGCAACTGTATACTGTTCTGGCTGTGTTCCTGGGGGATGCTTTCATGCGTCTCGTCCCTGCTGAGGATCGAGGTGAAGAAGAGGTAGTAGCTCTCCTCAATCGGCTGAAACAGAAATCGGGCCACAAGCGATCCCAGGTTACTCACCACATCAAACACACCCTGCTGCCCAAAGTCAATGACCGCAAACAAAGTCATCACATAGCGCTCGCCTTCGGTTAGGAATTGCTTCAGGAACGACTGCTTTGTGAATGAGAATGTCAACAACACCACTTTCTTTGTTTCCGCGTCGATGGTAAGCGTGCTTGGTGCCAGACCAGCCAATGTGGTAACTGGTGAAGTGGGACGGGGTTGGCGAGAGAAGTTGAAGTTGGGTTAGTTAGCAATCTGATCTCAACGCGAGGAAAATATGTAGCCATTGTCTCAATACAATCCCCAAATAACAGTGTCGTCGTCCTTGTGATTGAGGATATTAGAAACAAAGCGATATAACAATACATATTTGTAATAATCTATTTTCGAGGAGTTGCCCACTCTCGCCATCTTTGCTACACCAACGGATCGAAACAAGATTTGATCACTGCCCCACAGTGTGCTTTACCTGAAACGTGATATACAAAATGCTAGTGATGGTACAGAGACCTAAGCAGACATATTTACCATCGAAGTTTACTTTCCGACAACTCAATAATGGACTAGTAACAGTAGATTGTTATGTTAAAACTATCACTAGCACACTTGTTGCTCGCGCCATCCTTGAAACAATTGGACCGAGGCACCGGTTACAGGACAGTGTTTCGCCACGGTTTATATTACGATGTAAACCCCCGTGTATTCGGGCGCACACCACTGCCCACCAAATAACAAAACAGCCCACACGAATTTTCTAGACTACAATCCACTACAATGGCAAACTCATTCTGTACGGCGCCACTAAAAAGATGCCTTTGGCTGTGCCACAATCTCAGCATGTCGTACTATTATAAGTCACACAAACACGTCATACCTGGCAGCGGTGGAACGTGCGTTGTGAGAGACTGCTGGTAGCGTACGTACGATATCCATCCGACAATCAGACAACTCGCGTACACACACGCGGCAATCCCAAATATGTTCAGGCCCCATTCCGGCACGACTACAACTAGTACCACGGTGACTATACATCGCACCAGCAACGAAGCTCCCTCAACCAACACCCTGCCACCCACCAGGAAATGGGCGTGGCAGAAGATCCACATAGGCTCGCAGGCAAGCTCCAGCAGAGTTGCTATGGCGAAGAAGGCCACACTGTGTGATGCGAAGGAGTGGTGTTTGACGGGCGAGTAAGATAAGGGTGCACAAAGGCAAATATAACGGAAAGACGGACGAAGATGTGAGTGAATAATTGGCTGGATTCTGAAATCGGACGGTTGGACTAAAGCAGATATGCAAGGACTGCCCCTTCTTGCGAGAAGAGAGTGACGCACGGGCAGTGTAGTGCCGCTGGATAGCACTGGTAGGTGAGTGGGTCTGAAAAGCCTGTCTCCGGCAGAAAGTAGAGAAGAATGGGATAGAAATAGTCAAAATATGACACAGGTGGGTGAATACGGGATGTGCGATTTCTCGTTGCGACGCAACAGTGAAACGCCGTTTAATGGCAGTTGTACGTTCTGCGTTGGATGGCCTGCTGAGCGACCGGTCTCGGACACCGGTAGTTCGAAAAGGATGATGGAGACGATATTTAGCAATGTGCCCTGATTGAATTTTAATGCGTTACTATAGAAGTTGACAGCAGATGGTTCGAACAATGTGTTGCAGGTACTATGCTACCATCGATCTCGAAGATATGGTGTACACTGCGTGCTTGCTGCCACTGCAACACCTGAACAAACAAAGGTATAGTGAACAATATATTTGTATGGCGAGATAATCGCGTCTCAGGCATGGATTAGAAACGCAAACCATCGGATAGTTCTGCCGCACAGCTTGGCGTTACATTACTGACGATACTACAGCGCACCTATAGACTCCAATTCCGCAAAGGCTGTATCATACCTTGATTCGTAGTTTGGCATAGAGTCGTCTGGCTTCTCTAGGAAATTCACCCACACGTACCCAACCGCGCTGACTACAAGCAGCCCCAATGGTAGGCTGTTGTACGCAAAGAAGTGTAAGCATTAGAGATAGCATACAGTATTCAAAGAGGAGAGATTCTGGAGGATACTGCGGGTAGAACGGTCATCCATGATATGTGCACGTATATTGTTTGTGACCATGAATATACGAACACAAGTCTTGCTCGACGAGCGTAAATTCTTAAACACTGACCACAAGCAAAGCCAAGAGCTACGTGAGGATACCCACCGGTCTTTTCATGCGAGAGCACTACTCTCACCAATATTTTTTAAGATTATATAGACATATGTAGAATAGTTCCGGACGTTTCGAGATGTGGCCCAATAGTGTCCGTAATCAGTACATCTACAAATGGGCAGGACGAAAAAACAAACCACCGCACGGCAGTCGGGGGTTACATATGTATTCCGTATATTCATACGTAGATTTGTAGAGAAGACACAGACCATGTGAATCGGCTAGAAACAACAAAAAAAGACAATTTCACAGTATCATCAGTAGAAGGGGCAAAGCATGGCCAAACACGATACTTGACCATGGCAGGGCCTCTACTTAGGTAACATAATGAGATTTTCCGCGTTACTGTATCGAGACATGAAAAGTAACGAAAGAACGCAATTTCAGATGAAACAATGCGGGATTATAAAATCCCAGAAAG